TAGAATTTAGCATGCCTTTGATACCTCTCATATTGCCTTTGATGAGCCGAGCCCAAAGTAAGCAAACAAGCCAGGGAGCTCACATATCTACAAAACGAGGTAGTCAAGTGTTCTTCGCATTAGGTGGGCACTAGGCACATCAAGGGCGCATCGAGAATCTTAAATTGCATCAACTACTCCTTCGTGAACTCGAAATGATTTCTATCACTATTTTCCCACTTCATGCTCTCGCCTTTCTTGCTCAATTCACCCATCATGTCCAGTATTCATATATAAAAATATATGCGCCTATTTAAGCCTTTCTGTCCTCTGTACTCAATCTCCGGCTCTTTCTTTTCCAGTCGGTTTGGCACTAAATGTGCTAGCTGCAACGAGGGGATTCCGCCTTCAGAGGTGGTTCGCAAGGCTCTCAACCACGTTTATCACCTGACATGTTTTGCCTGCATCACCTGCTCTCGGTCCTTAAATACGGGCGACGAGTTCTTCTTGCTCGGCAACAGAAAGTTGATGTGCAAAACGGACTTTGATGCTGCCAAAGCCAGAGGTGAGTGCAAGAGAGAGCCAGTCAGCAAGAGAAATAGGAGTAAGATTCTTAAGTAACCACTTTATTCACTCCGAGTCACATAAAGTAATACAAGACCGATGGTTGAACTTTTCCCATGATGCTATGAGTAGGACTCACTTTGCCACTGAATTTACTTTGTTTTGCCTCCCTAAATATACTCTTATCTGCGGTGAACTCAAGTTTCGACCTTGCCTGTGCCTCACCAGCCCTACAAAGGGGAATAAAACTCAGACAATTTGGAGTATTTTTCGATGTGGCTTCTGCTATGGTCCAAGCCTCGTTTATAAGTCTATATGTGGGCTGACCTCATTTTCTCAACTTGGTCATGTCGCCAGGGCGACTTAGTTGGACACACCTTGCCCGAAGGCCTCTGCTACAGGGGTTATTATGATTGCCAGTGTTGGACTGTGGACTTGATACATTCCCAGACATTTAGTTGTACTTCATTTGAGATGTAGTCTCGAAACTCTACTCATATACGAAAAAAAGTTGTACTTTATCTGAACTAAAGTGAGTTGTATGAAATTTAAGTGGTTTTAAAGGCCTTAGCTAGAAGCTCAATTCAGGTGAAAGGTGCTTGTGACTGATGCAGGTCTCTTGCTTGCACAAAGCTTACTTAAATTTAAATACGAAAAAAGGCTGAGTTTCGGAGAGTCTCTTAATAGAATGATGTTTAAAAGGCAAGTGTGGCAGGGATTAGTAAATTTACCTTACAAGTAGGTGAAGGTGGAGTTACTTAGAGCTGTGATTGAAGATTTGTGGTTATAAATCCTCGGTGCATCGTCCAACAACCCGGATTAATTCAATCTAGCTTTCGTCTGCCATGCATCAATGGAGCAGGAAAGCAGGCTTTACGGTAATTCAGGGAGCATGGCTACAATCCTACATAATAATAACCAAACTTTATTAACCTTTCTTGCCTTCGTGCTTAATGAACGATCGTAAAGCATGACGTCCTGGTCTGACGATGTCCATCATATGGCAGATGAAAGTCCAGCACGGATTTATGGGAGTCGCAGGGCGGTGAGCCGCGGACTTATTCGCACGAATCTAGATGCATAGCTCTGAATATGGCTCCAGCAAGGCCAATTTACTAATATCTTACACTCACCTCTTCAAGCGAAATGAAAAATACACAAACATATTAATCCTATTCTGCGACCAAACAGAAGACGACGCCAACCTGTTCCTCATATCTACGACTTCAACTTATTTTAATTACGAAAAGAGGTTTCTTGACTATACTAGGCGAGACGGTGCTATTGTAAGAGCAGAGGTAGGCTATTTCCACTGTCGTTATGCGTGAATATTTGTTCAATAGATATTCTAAGTCTGACTGTAAATCTTTTCAGTCGGACAAAATCCTTTTGCAGGAAAAACCAATAAACACGCTTTAACTTTAAATACAAAAATGTCTGGTTAAGAAAGCACGTTTTTTAGTATACATGCAATCTTGGATTTCAGCTTAAATTAAAATGACATTATTTATCTGGTGGATTCTAACCAATTTTGACCATTATTTGTTCTTGAAATAGTTTTCAGAATAATTTTCGCACCAATCTTAGTCACCGTCCAACATTCCCCTCCCTGCCTCCTATCATTGGTGTGAAACTTAAATCAAATTAACTAATACTGAGTCCAACTTCGGCGTCAACTGCTTCTCATTCTCATATTCCACTATGCGCTTTTCTCCTATACTTCATTACCACCAGAGGCGGAGTTAGACAACGTAAATAAGCGTCCGCGTACCACTATTTCAGCCAAACAGCTAGACGCCCTGAAGCGAGCCTACAGCGAAAGTCCGAAACCGGCCCGGCACGTTCGAGAGCAGTTGAGTGCAGAAACTGGACTCGAGATGAGAGTAGTCCAAGTTTGGTTCCAGAACCGCAGGTTAGTCACTTAACAAGAGTCTGCAAGTCTAGACTTACATTTCCGATATGAAAAGCGAATGTTATTTGGATACCAAATATTGTGCAATAAGAACATAGAATTAAGTGACCCAAGTGCAAAATACGTCTCTGATTGTGTGACACACAAGTAGCTAAAATTCAGATAACGTGCATGCACCGATTAAGTTCTGCAGACAAGTTTTCGTTTTAGGAAAAGTGGCTCTTGGTTTTAACCTTGTTGACAGTATTTCACAAAAAAGCCAAACTACATGATGGAATCAGCGAGGTGGAGGCTGAAACCCATAATGGCAGTTTTAATTATTGCCCCAATTTAATTGAGTTGCATGAGCAGTAAGGTGATCAGAAGCAGGCCTGCATGTGGGCAGTCCTATGCAGTCTTAAGACAGTTTATTAATGAGCTACTATGCACAATATGGATTTATATGAGACTTGAGGTTACTATGGCAGTCCCATATTCCTTTTACTAAAATTTTTTAATACATGGTTTAAACTTCATTTTTGGAAGTCAGATTTATACTCAGGGCTGAGCTCGACCTAAGCAGAGTAGAAAACACAATATACCGAGACTGAGAACACATTTTTGTGGCCCAAGCTAAAGGAAACTCTATCAGTAACTGCAAACTCTCCCTCTGATCCATCATTGTCTACGGTAAGAGCGGCACTAGACAGTTAAAACAGAAGCCTGATCCCATAAAATAGGTGTCAAGTCAAGGTAGTTCCTCTACTGAGTGTGACAGGCCCACGGAGGGTGATGCTAGCGAAACATTAGATAAGGGGAGTAAGGGAGTTCTTAATAAACTTAAAAATACGTCTTTTCTTAAAACTAAATATGCAACTTTTCCTGAGGCGACAAGAGGTTGTGACGATTCTTTCTATGCCCATAAGATAACATTGCTTCTGAATTGAAGTATGCGTGATCTA